GGTTACATGGTATTTGAGCACATGCAGCGCTGGATGCTTTTCGCAGAAATACGAAGTAACCGCATGAGTAGATCGAGGGTATCGATGTTAGTACTTGGATTAGTGCACTCACGTGACCACGGTAAAAATACGGGAACCTGTAAAATTTCTTTCATCAGGAGCGGCATTTTGCCTGCCAACACAACGATCTGTGACCATCCTTAAGATGCGAAAATATTCGCTAATTTTCAGTCTACTATTTCTTTCCAATCACCGGGTAAGCCGTATTAACGAGCCTTTCCAATGGTCACGCAGCGCCGTCCAAGGGGCATGCCCAACGGTCTGAATTCAAAGGCGCATTGTCGCCGATCAGTCATAATAAGCAAAGGACAGAAAATATGCGAATCGACGACGCAGGTATACGGAAAGTGAAACGGTTGACGGCGTTAGAAACAAAAAACCGTGCTTAGAGCACGTTTCGGCTTGTCAACATCCAAAGATATGAATGATATTTTAATACAAAAGTTATAAGCTAAAGTGGTTCAAGACAGCCTTAGCGTTGATGATATAAGAACTAGCGAGGCTGATCTACTGAACTTGTATTCGACTGTCTGAGGAATGAGGAATTCTAGGTCACCTTTGGGTCACTGCTTGCAATGAGTGTTCCCACTTCGTATCGCGCTTCAATCATTTGTCTGAAACAGTGCAAAGCTTATTTATACTCGAAATTATGCTTGCCGTCACTCCCTTTGTAACACTAACTGAAAATTAAACTAATCATAAATTCATTCTTGAAACTAAAAATTTAAACGAGCAGGAACAGCATTCCGCAGAAAAATTTCACAGGTCAATTGTCTAATGCCGTCTCTTCATCGATGTCAGATGTTTACATGTCAGGTCAAATACGGGAGGTCACACTTCGCTACTGAACGAACATCTACGTTTGCTAAGATCTTCGCTTAACTGCTGCTGTTGTCGATTCCGCGGCGATAGCATATTTGAAGAAGGAAGAAGACCAGAGATTTTCGAGGTGTCGATAAAACAGTTCGTTAAGCCTCACTCAGTTCTCATGGTTTACTTGCTGGTTTAACGATCGATGTTTCGACTGTGTATTCCGAATTTTTCTACCGCTTAAACCCGTGTATTCCCTGTCAGTGCGAAATTTTCACTCCTACTAATTTCCTCACTTTTTCTCAATGAAAATGGCTTTGGACATGACGTAAATTGCTTATAACATATAGATACTTGTCGCGCCGAAAGCGATTGAGAAAAGTGCGGAGATTTCTAACATAGGCGTGTAGTGAAAAATTACATTCGGAAAATATTTTACAAGTACTGTCTATTTGTTTTAATTTGTGGCTTCGCGTAGTGCTGAATTTGTTAACGATCAGGTGGGTTAAAGCGAATCACAGATGTAAAACGCACGCATCAGCGAGGTGATCTTGAATCTTTTCGTCTACTTGACTACAAAGTACGATGATTCGCAGGTTCTAACAAACCGCCGTTGCGGTCGACAAGAAACGCCTGAAAACCAGTGGCGCCTGTTCGTCTGAGGACGAAAGTGTGTGAAGTTGTTGAGGTTTTGCGCTGTCGTACTCGCATACGGGTATAAGGCAGACTGATGCTTTTAATATTTAGCTGTTTCGTCTTGGTACATGGCAGCAGTGAGCAACAGGTAGCCAATAACAGCTTTTGCTGATGCTTTGTTTGTCAGCGAACAAAAGGTATGACCGAGACCACACGACGATGTTTCGCGTTGACGGTCAGAGAAAGCCGCTCCTCAGAGTCACTCATCGCCCAGCGCAGCAGTGCAGAACAGGCAGACATCGCTTCACCGCTCTTTCAGCTTTCCGGCGCAGTCACACACTCACATCTCAAGTCGGATTTGATATTCGGTACATGACTCATTATTTGATATCCATTGTCGTCAACGAACACAAATCAGACAACGAGGAATGAAAATCGGTTGCTGTTGAGAAAACTCAGTTTGCGAGCAGAGAGCGCGACACTGGCGACTGGCGCCTGGCGCCGGCAGACGGCTGCAAACGAACAACACACAACTCACAACCGACACGAACTTTACCTGCGAGGAACAGTAAGAGGAGCGAGTAAGCGGCGAACAACGACGCAAATCCGGCTCTCATCTTCGGCACGTGCACTGGTCAAGCTGACAACGGACAAAGAAACGACCGGTGGTCAACGCGGTTCGATTCGGTTAGCGGGAAACGGATGACAAAAAGGACGACGACAACTGTCACCAGACGCGCGCGCTACCAACCAAGTCACAGGACACGTTCTTCACCGACCGGACCAGACCGCCGACACGTATAACAATACGACAGGTAGCGCAGCAAATCGATCAATCAATAATATCAATCAATAATCATAAACTTTCTAGGGGACCGATTGCGACAGAGAACCGCACAGACACGAACAACGCGAACGACAACAGCCAGTTGCGACGATGGCACAGCGCGAACCGCCGACGTGCATAACCTAAATAGTGTTTGATGTAGTTTGTTTACCGGGTGCGTCACCGTGGTCACCGTAGTCACCGGTGCTGTGGCCCCCGTCAACCATCCGACGCACGGCAATTCGTCACGCAAGCCGGATGTGTCGTGTCAGTCGATCAATCGATCGATGACCATCCTGCTGACCAGCGGTCGCAGTATCTGTGTGACCGCTTGCACGTTCACTTTGACCGTCGACTGATGACTGCTGGATGAGACATGACTTCGCATGTACGAAGGCTAGCTGCGCCACGTTCCAATATGCCGTGCTGATTCATGTACGCAGCAAATCCTTGGTTACGTAAATAGCCTGGCCTCTAACGTGTGCGTATTTGCAAATAGCGCTTGGCGCCGTGCTGTGGATATCTGGATCGGGATATGTATCATCAACCAGAGCGGTTGGCGACCGACCACTGTCTTGACGGAATATGTAATATGACGCGGAATGCATGTACGAAGGACCGTACCGAATAACTGGATGTAAGACCGCGCCATAAGTCGTCGGAGGACTGTTATGAGGACAGCCATACGTTAGCTAGTTTAGCAGACGTTGCTAGAGGCACCATCGTACGGACCGTTGATTTCGTTCTTCAGCACCCAAGAAAATTACCGTGGTTCGATTCAGTTAATAAAAGCATTATGTATTGGAGTGACGTGGACGTGAGGCAGAAACTGAAATCGGTTTACATTGCGATGTATCTGCTTCCGGACGTTGCAGTCATGCAACCTCGCCCGGACATTACGCTTGATGAGTGACCGCATTTGACCACTGTTTATAATATGTTCTGACTTAACCTTAAGCTACTTTGGACGCAATCCGTGAAAAATGCGTCGCCAATTTTGTGCCAGATGACTGACTGATGATGGATGACGTTTTTATTCGATCTGAGCCATGAGGATGCTTCGGCTCAGAGCGAACAACGCAGACAGAGACATAGATCACGGAACAAATGGCCAGACAACTTTGCTTGTGCAAGCCAAACGATTGTAGAACAGTCAACGCCGTGATCGCCAAAGTCTACTGTTTTTTACAGCTGTGATGTTGAGAAATGCACCACCATTGTATGGACTGTGCCGCTGGTCGCACAACCTCATGTTTAATTCCCAAGGCTGCACTGCAAGAGGGATTTTTAGGATTTATAGCCACTGATTGCGGTAGTTCTATTTTGCTACAGTTCTCATTCTATAACCTTTATTTCTGATTAGCTACGTGATCCTCTCGGAGCCATTTTTGCGTTATAACTTTATTGCGTCTATTTTTGGCACGCAATTAGCACTCGTGTGCCATTTAATTGGTAGCTTGAGGTTTACAAGATGAACATCGTGATATCCTCTGATCTCAGAAGAACGTACACTCGTCTGATGGTACTATTACGGTCATTTATTGAATACTTTCGCCCAATCTCTTTTCAGAACTTTTTCGCATGCCTGGTAAAAGTTTTCTTACTTATCGGAAAGCTTTTTGTTGCCTAGCCAAACAGCAAGTAGTCTCATTATTTCGGCAACGAAACTACGTGCCGCCAGCACAAATGACTTGTCCGTTGGCATTAACGCTGTTCTAATGAGAAATGGTCATAACGAGTGATTAATTCCGCGTTTGCACTTAATATTTCAATGTACAAGGCTTCTCCTTTGCGAATTTTTGGTCTCTGACCAAAGTTCTACAAGCATTAATGCCATGATTTTGCCGTATAAAAGCTAGTATTCTAAACGATACC